GTGTGCACCGAGCGGGTGGCATCCGCACGCGTCGCCAGCGAGGCGCTGGGTCATCCCCACCGCGACGGAGCCCCGGAAACAGCAGTTCCAGGGACAAATCTGGTGCCGAGGAAGCTGGACGTCACTTCGTTGCCCTGAGCAGGGTTGGGCTTGCTGGCGCGGGCCGGCTTTGACGCCGATGTGCTTCGGTGCTCCCGCGCGTGGGTGGCGTTTAGTTGGTTTCGGGATAACACCCTGAGCTGCAGCGGGAACGCGCGGTCCGGCGGTGCAGACCCTCCTCCTGGTTACAGGCTTGCTTTGACATCTGATTGCTAACCAAACTGCCTGCGCTGCTGGTTTTGTCCGCTACGATAAGCAGCGTGCGCCGGCGCGATCTGCTGAAGGTGCAAACGCTAATCTGCTTGCGTGAGTTCTGGGTATAGGGTTGCTTGTTTTCTTCTTTTTTTGGCTGCAGATGTGGGCCTGAGCAGCCTAAATTCAACCGGAGGTCAAAAATTACAGGCTGTGTGAGCAGGGCGGCTTATCCCATGTCATCTAGTTTTCCTGATTAAAAAAAAAAAAGGTAAAAAACCCCCCAGAAGTTGCAAGAGTTGCAGGGAGCTGCACTGCCCGTACGTTGCTGTGAGACGGCTCACAGAAGATGTGAGCGAGAAGTTGCTGTTAAATAGCATGTTGCCAGTTTTGTATATTTGAAGGTAATTGTGGGGGAAAGACGATGATCTGGAAAACTGAAGGGAGAGAACGCGAAAGCGCCATGGTGCTTGGGCTTCGTTGCAGGATGCGACCGACCCTGGAGCGACTCTCCAGCCTCAGCTCCGTGCCGAAGGCGACAGGAGCGTGTTTCCCCCAAGGAGTGTTTATTACAGGGTTGCACAACTCAGATCGGGTGCTCTCAAAGACATAGCGATGCTGGAGCGGTAACTGGGATTCAGGATGCCAGTCATGCCGAAGAGGCAGATCCTCAGCTAGGACAAGGGGTCACCTCTGCAGCGAAGGGTCTGGCTTTCTCCAGCACCCGGCCTTTGTGCGGAAGGGGAGGGTCTGCATCCCGCCGACGCGCTGAGCGCGGCAGCGGGCCGGGCTGGCGCCCGGCGGGCAGCCGCCC